ATGAGCGAGTTGTTGAAACGCATTCAAGCCTCACTAATAATGAGGCAGCCACACACAAGCTACCTCTCTTACTCTCTGTATCTGTCTGTTTCGCTCTTAGCAGCGCAGCGCGTATAGCACGGCGCAAATACATTATGTACGTGGCCGCTGCGCGCGTACATACGAGAATAACAACGAAATTTGGCATTGAAAACGAACAAAAGTGCACCTACAGCGTCGTCGCCCGTCACATAGTCTTTTTCATCGTTGTACACACATAGAGCAAAGATTTCACGAGCGAGATCGAAGCAGCGAGATCTAGCCGAGGGTTAAAGAAAGAGAAGAGACCTTGCCTTGCACATGTGCTATGTGTACACACTCCGCTGTTGCTGCTGCTGTTGCCACGCCACCGCGTTCACAATGGCTGCGCTTATATATTTATACATCTAATATGTCTATATACTATACTGACACGATACAAGAACACACATATAATATGTATAGTGTATACACATGCCCGCTACATATATGATACAACGTACTATAACAGAAAAAAGCAAGGGAGCAAAACTGAAAACTGAAAAGGAAGCTCACACTGTATAAGCGTCAGACTATATTGCTCCTGCAGTCGTCGGTCGCGCCAGTCTCGCTATTTTCATACGAATCTTGAATTTGAGACAAGGCACTCCTTATATTTTTACACATGCCAAGCTATGCTACGACAAGTAGTGGCGCACAAATTAAAAGAATAAAAAGCCATCGCTCATTATCTCTCCAAGGAGTCAGATATTGTCGCGCTGGTGGTATCCGTAAAAAGTGGTCTTTCTCTCATTGCCGCGGATACTGAACATGTATTTTAGAACGGCAGCTGTTCTAGTTGCTCGAATCATCAATACGATAAGACGGGAGTGTTTTGTTTCCCATACAATTATGGAAAAGTTTAAATATAACGGCTATTCGGAGTGCGATGCATGCTCCGAATTTGATCGCCGCCGCCGTGTGCATGTACTTAATGGTTCCGCTAGATTGGCATCTCCGATTACATACCAAGCGCAATGACGGTTAACAATCGAAGGCCCAACGGAGGGGGGGACATGTGTTTCGAGAACAATGATTTTTCTAAAATTAGAAAGTCTCTTAAGAATCTTTGCCTTCGTTATAACCTCACGGATTTTCACATGCAAGTATAATTATAAAATTATCGCGACATAAATCGACTCCCACTATCCACGCTTACTTGTCATGTAAATTTTATAAGCGCCATCGAGATTCTAATCTATACAAAAGCTATAAATGATGTGATTTTTGTTCAGGTATTTAACGGTGTCTCTTAATCGGACGGCACTTGCGTCAGAGTGAACATTTTTTCCCAATCTCCTAATACGTAAATCTTATATCAAAGCCGTTTATTAAAGTCAAAGAAAACAAAAATCCATCGATTAGTTTAAATAGCAGTAGCGATGTCAGGTGGAAGACGGAGAGCGAAGTCGGTGAGTCATAGAGGCGAGAGCCCGACTGGTTATTAGAATAGATTAGCGGGCCTCGGAGACGAGTCGTTTAAACTTTAACGACGTACGAATGACTATGGGCTCCGTTTGTGCGATATGCAAGTGTGCGTTGGTGCAACGCGAGGCATGCGAGGGCCGAGAGAGAAAGGGTCACTGGGTCAAATGCACTGCTCCTCGTCGTCGACGAACGTTTACCAGGAAGCAGCACGAGCTACGCTGCGCGTTTTCGCTCCCTCCTCGTACAGTTCGTTGCAGGCGATGAGCCGTGTGCGTGTTTGGCAGGCTCGACTCGCCGCGCGTCCCCCTTTGCGACCTATGCCCGATATGCCCCGATCCTATACATGCACTGTACACGCTGTTAGCGCCCCTTGTTGACGCACGTCGTGACAGGGCTACACTTGTAAGTACCTATGCTCACATCGGTGGCATTCGTAGAACACGCAGTATAACATAGGTATATAAATGCGCGTCGATGACAATTGCTTAGGCGCGTTGATATATAGGCAGATCTCGTTGCGGTCGAGATCTCGCGAGCGAGACGGACGATCTGCACCGCGTGCTGCCGGGCTGACGCGCCACCGCAGCATCCCCAAAATGTATTTTAATCCATTTGGAATTGTAACGGAGATTATTGGCCCGAAATTTTTCATGCGTATAAAGTCACGAACCAAGTTGCTGCGGACTTGCGCATCGGTTTCGAGCCATAAACGCGCGCCCGTAGATCAGGCGCGACGTAATGCGGCAGATGCGCGCATACTCTTTCGAATTACCGCCAGCCCTGGAATCTCACCCGGTCGCGTACATCAAAAGTGATGGCTTTATATTGTGCTCGTGCGACAATCACGATTGGTATTCGCAGCCGTATTGCATGTAGGTACTACTACTGTATTCATGTCGCATAATTGTCCGACATTGATATCCGCAAGTGCAGAGATACACAGCAGTCGTTACCGCGTCTTGTAATCGTCATTCATCGCCGGAGGATCGAGACTAATTTGCGCATTGATACCGATTCCATTGAAAGCACTCGTGTGTATACACGAGCTCTCATCCGAAAACGTCGACGACGACGAATTGCGAACCCGCTAAATTTACTTCCTTTGTGAATTATTGAAAAATGACAATGAGCGGATGGGCTTGACACGCGAGGTTAATATAGAGTATATATACGAGAAAAGAAGCTGCTGCTCCACCTATCGCGCGTGGATAATCACGTGGAAAACACTCGTTCGGAGCACAATAAAATTAGAAAAAGAAGAAAGTGCGTAAAAACTGCTTTTCTTCTCTCTCTCTCATTCTCTCTCGAAAGTGGCACGCTGCCAGAGATTTTAATTAAATTTAGAGTACTTAAGATGTTGTGAATTTTCGACGCTTAAAGCCAAAGCGGGAATTCGGACGGTAGGCAGGCCGCCCCGATGATGCCGTGTCAGCTGTTACCGAAGCGATTAATGCCTTTTGGATTTTCTAGTTTTCGCACTTGTGCAAGGTGGCAACGGTGCGAAAGACAACGACAACGACAACGACAACGACAACTACTTTCTCGTGCGCACGAGACTCCAAAATCTTCGAGCCGACCCGACTGTCAATTTAATACATTACATGTGCAAGGTAGAATCGACAACCAACGTACGAGAGAGAGAGAGAGAGAGAGAGAGAGAGAGAGAAGGAGATTAACATCGCAAGATCACGTTTATGCATGTACATACGCGTAATTGTTGACGGACGACGCGATGTTCCCGGAGAAGCGCGCAATGATCGAGCAGAGCTAAAGTCGGAGGTGTGACAAGTAATACGCGCAATAATCGGGCATCCAGATTTGTTTCGACTATTGTATAATATACAACGTATTATCGTCCGTGGTAATTTAACATCTTGATTCGAATTGGCGTGGCCCATAGCGTTGGCGTAATAATCGACGAAAGAACGACAATGACTCGTAGCTTTTTTTTTTCTTTTTTTTTTTTCCTTCATTTAATCGTCTCATCTCCGAGAAGACACTGGGCTTGTCATGACTGGTCGCCTTTCGCAGAATTTCGTATCAATAATAGCGATCGTCGATATTTACACAAACTCGTGCGAACAAGTGATAGGTCGTCCGTATACAGCTGGATAGGATATGTCGTATTATCCATCTCGCACAGGTTATAAGCTTTTGTCCCGAGAAGCTCAATTTGGTGAATAATGACTGAAAAGGCGACGCGCGAAAAATACACGTACTGTATACCGTATATAAAGAAGCAAAAAAACAAGTTCTTTACTTCTGGACTGTACAGGTGCTAGTGTCTAGCGAATTGCTCTCGACTCTGGAGGCGGGAATAGATATACAGAGAGAGAGAAAGAATGAAAGAAAGAAAGAAAAAAAGAGAGAGCTCTATTGTACTAGTCACACGGCTGACTCTCGTAGTCGTCCCCGTATTCTTTATATGCGAATAAGTTAATCAGTTAAATTGAAATTCTATTTTGACCAGGACGAGCCGCGCCGCTGCGAGTATATTATGAGAGAGACTGGTGTCGTCTTCGTGCAGGTGCCGCCCGCGAGGGAGCATACGAGCAGCGCACACCGAATTCGGAATATTAAGTATTTTATTAAAATTTATTCACACGGATGAAAGTATCAATAGGCCAAGATTCCGATCCGCCGATCCGTGTGCCGAACTGTGCCGAAGTTATTGACAATAATGTATATATTTATGTGTGTGACTTGGAATATACGTATTTCAAATAAAATGGCATATCTTTATGACTTTTTGACAGTAAAAATTTGCAGTGCTCGGCCGGACCGCTCGCTTTTAATCTTGATTCCCAGGGAAACATAATCGATTCTTTTGTTATTATAAGAAGAGAAGCGAGGCACTGATCGCTGTCAAGATTGGGGGGAGAGGCATTAACGTAACATTTTCATCGTCAATTTATGAATAGAGGGAAAGTAAAGTCGTTAGGATTGAGAAACGAGACGCGGCGCTACGCTGGTTTCTCCAACAACCAAATGGTCACTGTACAAATCAAAGCAAGTGCGATTATAACAATGGTGTATTTTCAGCTTTGAAACGAAATTAGAACGGCCGTAAATTAGGATCCTCGAACAAGAGAAGCTTTTTGATTTTATTTTTTAATTGGAAAAATGATCGCGCGTGCCCCTGACTCGCAACCGACTCGCAACTGCTCCGTTCTCCGAAATCGCTACGTTATTTGCCTACTCTACTGGTGCAAGAATTGGTCGCATGCATCGGTCGTGTCCGTCTGTTGTGTGTCCGACGAGTTCGTGCGCGAACGCGCACGAGTCGTGATCGGAGCTCACCTGGATATTGCATTCATATCATGCTGCTGCTCGTCTGCAGTGCGCAGCGAGCTCCAGTCCTCGAATCTGCGTAGGGAAATAATTGCTCCGGCTTTTGCGCCTCTCGGGGCTAAAAGAGTTCACTATAAAGTTCTACGATCTCTCCCACACTGTCGCTGCCTCGCGCTGCTCCTTGAGCCGCAGAGAAGATGGGCCAAATGAAAACTTGGCCTTACCTGGTGTATTATGTATATCTGTCGTAGCCGAAAAATCGATCCAACGTGGGAGTGATGCGTCCGCGCACCCGATGGGGATCAGCTTTCTCAGTCTGCACCGGTCGCCTCAATTACTCATTGCGCCTTCCGCGCGTAGATACGTAATTGCGAGCAGCTGGCAGTTATCAATGACACATGCACCGCACAGTGATACAAACGAACAATCAGATGTATATCAATCACCACAATGGACCATTAAAATCGAAACTGCCGAGCTTTAAAGCTGGTGGCAGTTGCGGATTACGAAACAAACAACAATCGGGAACCAAGTGGAGAACAACCGTGTACTGCTAGTCAATTGTTGTTATTGTATATAGAATCATCAACGAGGTACACATGGACACACACATACACAAACACAGTGCCAATTATTATTACGATCAGGAGAGATGTTGCTGCGAATGTCAAAACAGACTCGGTAATTCCGCCGCGACAGATCGCCGGATACACGCGCGCGTTCTAGCAGTAACTGACTGAAAGATCTGTTCTGGCGGCCCGGCACTAGCTCTCGGGAGATTCTCTCGCTCTCTCTCTCTCTCTCTCTGCGAAAAGCGCTGCGCTGTGCTCGGTGGCGAGAACGCAAAACTCGAGTCAGTTGTTCTCTCTGTGAGATGCGAAGCCGCCGACACCGCCACCGCCGCCGCCGCTGCTGCCGCCGTAGCCGCTGCTGCTGCTGCTGCTATTGATGCTGCTACTGCTGCTGCTAGATGCGCACGTGCGACCTCGGAGTGGGGGTCCCGGCCGACCTGCCAAACGAAACGGCAGCAGCAGCTATATGTATGTTTATGTGTATACGCAATACAACGGAGAGGGGCGCCACCAGCGCCACGACTGCTGCTCGGCGCAAACACAATGAGCCAGAAGCAGCAGCAGTGCCAGTGGATTATCTAGGTGGCAAGCTCTGCACAGCCTCGGCTCAAGCTAGTGCTCACACATACGCCTGCACATACATGCACATACGAGAAGGAACATGGTATTGTGTGCTCGACGTTTCGCGCGCGCGCGCGCGAGAGAGAGACAGGCTGACGTCGACGTCGACGACCGAGCCAGAGTAGAGCGGCTTGCCGAGGACGGAGAGAGAGAGAGAGAGAGAGGCCCCCACCGGCGGCGCTCGGGCGCTAGGGATCGCGGAGCTGCTCCCACTGCCGACTGTGTACACAGCGCTGTGTGCGTGTGTCTGTATGTGTGCACGAGTCGGGAGGATTCGCGACTCGTCTCTCGGCGGCCTCTCGAGTAGTCGCGCGTTTCATTGTCTACGCCCCTCGACCTCAGCCCCGCCCAGACCTCCTCTCTCTCTCTCTCTCTCTCTCTCTCTCTTGGCTCTTTGTTCTCTCTCGCACTCGCTCTCGTTACGCTACAGTAATGCTGTCCTCCCAGCGTTTGTGTAATATCTATGTGCTGCTGCTTCATTTTCAGCATCAGCTCGACTTGGTACCTTTAAAGTCGAAGCAGACGCAGCCACATTCGCTGCTTGCTCAGGATCGACTTTAGCAACATTGTATGTGTGTGTGTGTATGGCAGCCGCACATTAGAGTACATGCGGGTGCACTCTCAGCAACTATATACGACTACACGCTGGCGCGATTCTCTCTGTGCTGCTGCTCGGTCGCTCTTTTGTGCGCGTCCTTGCTTTTGCCGAACCTTGCCACACTTCCTACTGGACCTTTTTGTTTCCTTTTCCAGCTGCTTATCTCCTCTTTTTCCCCCTTCTCCTTCCCCCTCTCCTCCTCTTCTGTGTCCCGCACAACTTTTACCCCATGGTTTCCTCCTACGCGATTCCCTCTCTCCCTCCTTGGCCATTCTTCTTCCGAGCTTTGCCGAATACTAGCGGCTTTGGATCTATGCTCCAAAGGTCACTGTACTCTCGAACTAGAAAATCCCGTATAAACTATATAGGTACCTGCGAATATGTCGAGCGATCGTCGTCGTCGTCGACTTGGCGCTTGCTTGGAAATAAAGGTGGATTCGTCCAAAGCCCGCAGAACGCGCGTCCAATCTATAATTCTTGTCAAATCGAGAACTTTGGGAAGCGGAGAGACGCTTTCCGCTTGCTCGCTCGCTCGTCCGTTCCGTTCTTCTCTTTCCTCTCTTTATCATCTCCGCAGCTCTCGTCCGCAATTCCCCCATCTCTTTTTCTCTCAAAGAGTGCAAGTGTACGCTGATGATGGCTCTCTTCTTGTGTCTTTACTTCCGACGCGCTTTCCAAGCATGCTTCCTTGCCCCGCTTCTCTTTTCTCTATCCTATATAGCGCCTGAGCTTTTCATCTTTTATATTGCAGACTCCAGAGTTTTCTATCTTCGCTATACTCGTTTTTTTGTGTTTTCTTTCTTCTTTCTTCTTTATGAATACGAGTCAAGTGCGTTTTAATCAAAATATAGATCTAAAATGATTTGATAGGTTTACCAAAATTAAGGAATATTTCGGTGTGATATATTACGTGAGCTTGCATGTTACATTCAGTATCTGCGAATAAACGAAGTAATATAAACTTTTCGCGCGTTTTGAGCCACGTGCACTTTGATCGCTAAATATTTTTAATAGTATTTACAACGTTGCTCCGTATTCTCAATGTAAAATGCGAGCAGCTCGATTGAAAACTCCGAGTTGAATAATTATAGAATTTATTTGAAACTACGTAGAGTACAGATTTATTCAGCTCAAATAAGCTCCGGAGGTAATATCATGTTTGTAAATTTGTGTTTACGCCTGATTAATTTATACATATTTTTTTAGAAGGCAGCATAATATAATAAATGTATTTTATAAGCTTGAGAAAGAGTTCACTGTCGCCAAGTATAATCGAATTGTAATTGTCTCGAAGCGTATAGAGATTGTTTCAAACTTACTCGGAGAAATATTTATGCAAATGAATCCATTGAAGCTGGTGTATTTAAATGAGCGGATAATAAAATAGGAATCATCCATAACTGTCCATTAGCAGCTGGTGTGTAGTTAATAAAATTTTGAATATTGTCTAGCAGAAATTGTGAAATTGTCAGACAGCGACGAAGACGTTGGCGCCTCGATGAGACTTGTAGTGTACGACATTGTCGCACGAGCAATATCGCGAAAGTGACGCGCGCGCAATACAGCGCGAACAAAAAAAAAATATACGCGCGATCCAAAATCCAGGAAGCTCATCCGGGGGTGAAAATCGATATCCGGGCATAGCGGAGAGCTATATACGCGCGTATATAGGTAGTACACAGCGAGAGGAGGACGTCGACATAAGCCGCGGATGGGAAGCCTCGACTCGGGAATCGATGCCTGCCGCCGCCGCCGCTGCCACTGCTGTTACCGTTGCTCCAGTCACGACGCTCCGGAGCGCCAGGGTCAGAACCCGCGATGATCATTAGCTCTCGCAAGGGCGTCAGCCATTCGCGTGCGATGAGCCACCAGTTGGCGGCGTCTGTGCAGGTATATATAATAATAGCACTGCACGTACGGAGCGTGGCGCCGCGCGCAGGTAGTACACACAATGTCGCTTGCGCGCGGCGCATTGTTCGCTAAGTGCGCCAATGCTGGCACGTCGGAACAACGTCGTAGGCGGCGGCAACCACCCCCGCTCGCGGCAACGCAGCAGATACCCGAGCCCGAGCGAGAGACAGAGCAGAGGGGGGCCGTGCCGCGGCCAATCCGATGCGCGCGCAAATCACAATGCTCATTGTTGTGCGCGCGCCTTTGTCGACTAGCGGCAGCGGCTCGACTTGCTCACGTATAAACGAGCGTATACCTACTCTTTCGCTCGCTGCGACGACGCCCACACCTTTCGATATAGTACACGACGTAGTACCTACCTCGAGCGCGAGCCTACCTAGCTGAGCGCACCTGTGTCGTGCAACGTCGCTTACTTTCCACCTCTGTCGAGAAAACGCGTCCGAGTTTTTACGCTTCCATTTTATCGGTATCGTTTCTAACTTTGATCCCCTTTCGTTTGGCTTTTTTTCACACTGACTGCCACCGATTTGTTGTACTGATTTTCAGATTGTGGCGTGTATTTGAATATTGCCTTTATTAATTCAGCCGAACACAAAAAACCTGTCCCGACAGCTTTGTCTTTGTCTCCGCGTTCTTCGGGGCTTCAATGATCGCGGCTTAATTGTTTTCGACCTAGCTCCGACTTGTCCGCTCTCGACCTGTACACGTGCAGGTGTACGTATTTGTATTCGACGACAGACGGCTTTCGAAATCCCGGCCACACGGGCTATAACGAAAGCTTATGAATGGAATTATCATAACTCAGCGATCTAGAGAAAGAAATAGCTTGGATCTTAATATTCCTGATACGACTTTTATATACTATACTATACTATATATGTTGCCCACTTCGTTTGTGTTGTTTGCCTAGAATAATGAGTTATTGTTCTTGAGCTTGGGAACGCGGTCGAATTGTCGCACGATATACCGAAATCGCGCGGAGCTGCTACGAGTAGCGTCATATGTCTTTATGTGACATCTTATTGGCCTTCTCGATGAAATATAACAGCGGCCTATAAGCGCGATTCCAGTTTCCGCTTTTGAAAAATACACTTTACCCATTTTTGTCCCGCAAAACTTCCGAATATAATATTCCACTTTGTTTTTTATCGCGCAATATTCGCAAGCCGAAAGTAGCGATTCCGTGGCCTGTTTTAATATAAAAATTGTGACTTTCTGTTGCGGAATTCTCGAAAGTATGCTTCAATAAAATAATGCCAAAAATCCATTTTTTACGAATATAATTGACAATGATTACCATGCTACTTGGACTTTCTTCAATTTAACTCTTCCTGTACGTATTATACTCTTTTTAAATTATTCGTAATACTTGTAATGAATTTTTCGCTATTAAGATCGATAAAAAGTATAATTTGATTTTAAAATGAAGCACATTCGCATATTTTATGAATGGAATAACGACATTGTTGATTCCCGTTGTTCGCGTTTAGAGCTCTGTTTATTTTGAAAAAATAAAAGAGATCATTGACTCTTAGTCACCTCCATAACAATTTTTATTTTTAGGGCAGAGCTAAATAAAAAGTTGCTTGTTTTTGTTTAGTTTACTCACGTTTCTCAAGGTTTTTGTCAGAAATGCCCACTTGTTTGACTTACCTAAAACAAAAATAAGAATAAAATTATATACAAAATGATTAATGCATTCGATCTGTGAATAACTTTGTATTAATATTATTGTATTATGCATTTGTATAATAATATATGCGTGAGCAATTGCGGTTCACTATATAGAAGTGACACGATGAAACGTATAATGCCGCGAAAGTCATACTTATCGATGAGCCCAGAAATATCGTGAAAACATTAGAATGTCTCGGACTTTGAAATATAATTCGAGTATCACGCGTATTAAAATACACGACTTTTGGCATAAACGAAATCGCAAACGTGCTCTGCTCGGTACACCGCTGCACAGTAGCAGCAAAAGTCAACTCGACAAATGTATCCTTTCAGATGTTAGTA